TAACGTGGGATGTTGCTGCAGGCACTCCTTACACTCACTTTCTCCTTGTCCTTGAAGATTAGTTGGGTCTTATCAGTGCCTGGTGCAGTCCCAGTGCCAGAGGATCATGGTAAATTGTAGTCAAAATACATAAAGTGCTATAGAAAGCATCAGAATGCCCAGCTCAAGAATGACAAGTCATGTATTGAGTTCTCCAATAGGCTGAGGGAATTACCTTTTCACACTAAGATTCCAGCTAATATGCTGATCTTCAGAACAAAGCTGCCTTCAACAGGCATTTGAAGCAGGTGTCACTACATTACAGGTCCTGTCTTCAGCAGAGCTACTGCAACTAAGACCTTTTAAAATATCATACATATTGCCATACACTTCTGAACTCTAACCCTGCTCACTTGTCTGTGTTTGCACAATTTCTGGCTCTTTCCCCATATTAGCACAGCCACGAAACTACAGAGCAACGTCAGAGGCTGAGCTGACAGGTGGGACAGCAGCGAGCACCCGAGGCAAAGGGCTCCCAGAGGACAGCCATCAGCTCTCCTAAACAGGCAGGGAGAGGTGCTGCATCCTTTCAAACCCATCCCTCCCAATATCAGGGATCTCACACCTCTACCTCACAGGCCCAATGAAGATCTTAGCCAGAAACATGACAAAAAAAAGCCTTCCACTTATTTAAAGAAAAATTCAGCAGTATTGTTGAAAGTCCTGCGCTATAATTGAGATAAGCATCCAGGCTGTGGTATGAACTTAAAATTGTCTTCTTAAAGACATTTTAGAGTAAAATGCATAAGATTACAAACAACTACAAGTGGATTTTTTTCTTCTCACCAATCTAAACTCTGCATTTCAATGGTCTGTGTCTGTCTTAAGAGTCAGACTGGAAACACATTGAGCATCCACCTTCTAGTGCTTAGTTCTTGATACACTCACAATTTTACATTAAATCATACTCCATGTGTCTTTACTCAGGAGCACTAGAAGGGAGCTATTGACTGGTGTTTGATTCTGCTGATAAAATACTGACTTCTTCAGCTCTCTTCTATGCCTGCTGCCTCTGAGAATTATTCACTACTTGTTCCCAACTTTTTACTGTGGCACATTCAGTCCTGTCAAGGATTTTCACTGACTGAAATCCTGTGGCAGTAGACAGAGCTTATCAGAACAGCCTCACATGGAAGCAGAGGTGTCAAAGCAGCCAGACTGGTAATAGAAGACACACACACACAAAACCCCAAATAAACAAAACAAACAAACAAACACCAAAACAAGAGTAACTAGAGACCAGGACACAGTTCACAAGCTGAACATGAAGGATCCAACAGAAGCCATCTAACAGAAAGCCCCAGGCAACACCCAGGATCCTGTCTGCAGTCCAAAGAGACAGCAGATGTGCTTCAGGAGGAGCTCTGGCTGCACCGAGTGGATGAGAGGTTGGAAAAAAGCCCTGCATTAGTGATGTCTACAGTGCCGCAAGAGCAGGTGGCAGGGCCAGCGGCGCTGCAAGCTCCCTCGCGTGGCCATGACGAGGCAGAGGATGCTCTGCTCAGAAGGAGCAAGCACTGCCTAGGAATAAACAGCAAGTTGCATTTTCATGGTCCATTAAGTCCTTGGCTTCTTTGTTGAGACTACTAGGAAAGAGACAATTACTCCAAATGAGGTGGTGGGCTATGTGAAGTGGTCGCAAGTAGAAAAAACCCTCTTGTATTGGGAAAGGTCTTGAGAATTCCCATTTCACAGATTTTTCTGCAGACACTGACATGTTAGCCCAGAACACTGTTGGCAAACTCTGCAAGGACAGGAGAACCTCAGCTTTGAGCTCCTACTCTGCCCGATATTAAAGCAGGGATTGCAGCTTCAGTTGTTGACATCCAGCTGAACACACTGACCACAGGTCTTCTGGATTTTATGCTGCTTTCTTGATTTCAGCTGCTAAAACAATTAGGGCACTCAGCTCAGCCGAATGCTTTCAGAGGAAGAGTGTCTTGATCCCTTTTCACAATGGGAAAATGTCGCTGTTCATACTGTGCAGCACAGCTCCAACGGGAAAGACAAGCCCTACCTCAGAACAGCTGGCACCACGATGGCACAGCACCCACTTGCAATGGAAGGAACCTAAATGCACTAAACACCAACGGTATTTACCACAGTCACAAGCTTTCAATGGAAATTTCCTCTTCAGTAAAAAACACATGGATGTACAACTTCTCCAAAGACTTTGGATTCAGAAAATCATCAGCTTTTGCTGGGAAGAAAGATTAAAATAAATAAATAATAATAATAATAAAAAGAAAATCACATTTACTGGGAAAGTTCCTACCATGCACTCCTGCCTCACTGGGGTCTGAACTGGAAACAGCTCACACCTCTGAGGATCTCTGGGCCATAGGCTCCATTGGGACTGACCATTAAGGGTTACAAACCAAAATTGGGGGAGTGCTGTATAACATAATATCCAGCACTTATTTACAAATACAGAGACTTTTAAAACATATTTGTCTAAATTTTCCTCATAATACCCCAAAGTAGTCACATCTTACCAGGATATGAACAAACCAAAGCAGTGCAAATCACCGCAAAGCTTGGGAACCTTGACTTCCCTGCTGTGCTCAGCTCAGGGATCGTCTCCCCTGTAACACGAGTTTCAGTATATATGGGCTTCTGGCATTTTGAAGTCACATACATCTATCTGAGGACAAAACTTTTCCTTATCAAATTCAGCCAAGTTTAGAGAGCCAAGGAAATGTGCCATATTTTGAGAATGGTTCACCATTGTATCATATGGAAGAAGTGCAGAACCAATTAATATTTTCTCCTGCTCTTTGCAGCATGTCTTCTCTTCCCATGCAATACTACCAGCTACTGCCACATAGATGGATTACCCCAAGGATCTTTGCTTCCTGGCAGATAAGATGCTGTACTCCTCTGCCCAGATGCTACGCAGACTCTCAAAAAAAGCAGAATGGATCCACTTACAGCCTTAACAAAGAAAAGGCTTATGCTCTGAATTTATCTAGCATCCTGTCTCTCCCTTCTCCACCCCTGCAGCCGTCTTCCTTGGAAAGAGAAACTTGTGAAAATTTGTTTCTTCAGCTGAACCGAATTCAACTGTAAAAGCCTAAAGTCAGCTCATCCAGATAAAGGAAGCGCAGCACAGAGGAATGGATCTGTTCAGCAGCTCGTCATCTCCTGAATGTCACTTGTCCTTCAGGCTGCTGCTGGCACCTCTTCCTCAGTCTGACCACTCTCACCTGTGAATGAGTGCTACTGTGTGCAGCTGCTATTGGTAACAGAATTCAATGCCAAAGCCTCAAACCTCACTGCAGCTGCACAACAACTCGTCCAGCCGCAGACGGGCCGGGCCTGGGCTGGCAGGCCAGCACTCCCAGCTGCGAGCTCCACGCCTCCGGGGAGGCACAGAGCACATCCTGGGCCCCACCGCTTCCCCTGGGCTGGGATTTAATCTCTGCAGCCAGGACCCTCGCCTCATTTCTGGGGAGTCTTTAAAAAGCAGGTTAGAGTCTGCCATGGGCCTCCACAAGAAGTGATCTTCAGCAGCCAGACTGAAAAATGTGGGGGAAACATCGTATTTTCCCTTTCTTAATTTCACTTTCCCATGACTCAACCCCTCAGTGTAACAACCACAGGGGCATGGCCTGAACCTGTGCATTAGATACCACCACCATGCACACGACAACAGCGACGCAGTTTCTCTTCAGACTGAGCTCAACAAAGTCTACCAAGGGTTAAAAAAGCTCCTAATTTTTTTGGTGGTCTTTGGGTACAGAATATCTTATAATAAGACTATTTGTATTCATACTGGCAGAGTAAACACTACATGTTCATGCCCAGGCAGCTCTGTGCTTGTAATTTCAGCAAGAACAGAGCGACATCCCTGAGGGACTTTACTATTTCCCCAGCCACCATCCACTCAAATGCTGAACGAGAGCAGAGAAAGATGATGGCATAAGCCTCCACTGCACCACAGCCTCGGCTTTCACTAAGAATGCAGGGAATAGCTCATTTCAGGTTTAATTAGACTAGTTAAAACATTTCTCCTACAGGCCAGCAAAAGGCAAGGACATAGTGCTCCCGTGGTCACCATTTACTAAGTTCAATTTGAGAACATCATATTCAAAATCTTCCCCTGACAAGATATATGCAAGTAAATAGTGATGAAAACCCCTATTTCCTCTCATCACTATACTTGCTGTTTTTGAACAAAGCTTCTGTAAATCTTAAATTATGTATCTAGTAAAAGGTTCTAGTTCAGTGACACCAAGGAAAAAAAAAGGATACCACCACTTCAGATTGTTCAAATTTAAATTACTGCAGGAACTTAACATTGACTCACTGAGTCTCACCTAGTCCAGGCAAAATAAAAATAAACACATCTTTTACTAGCTAGCTTTATTCTTCAGTCATTTCAATGCTGCAATCTTTGGCTTGTTAATATAATGACAAAAAAGCCCACCACAAGAGAACAGCCCCCTCCCACTGGAGCTGAAGAAGTAACTCTGTTACCCCAAGAGCGTTAGCTGGTTGTTGGTCTCAAGTAAATCATTCACTAGAGGGGGATGTTGCACACACCTTGCCAGCGCGCTACACAAATGCTGCACGGCAAGTATTTAAATGGGAAGCATAAAATTGGTTAGAAAACATTTCTCTTTAGTCTTGTAAAACATATTTTGCTCAAATACAAACTCCAGTTACCTGGAATAGCTGAATGAGCACTTTTTAATTATGACAGAAAAACAGAATAGGCACGGGTTTGAAATGGAATCATCATTTACTATGGAGGTTAAAATACCCATTGTATGGAAGGTATTAATTTCTAATGAAACAAAAATCTCATTTTCAAGAGAGAGATTTCATCTGTGCAAGACTGAATGAATAGATTTTGTGCCTGGCTGGTAAATTTTCATTACAATTGTCAAACCTCGTCCAAAACACAATGTACTGCAGGACACAGAAAGCAAAGTAGCGTTAAAGAAAGTGCAACTTGCCTCATTTCCTCCCGGCAGCCTGTTCATATGCACGAGCTGGCCCTGATCGTCCAACACCAATTCAGTGTACGTAAGTATGTCAGAAGGCAGCGGCGGGGTTGGCAGGAACGCATGTTCATTCATAGACTCCCAGAGTTTAATCAAAGACTAGAGGATGAAAAGATAAAGTCTTGTTAAGAACGTCATCTGCAAATATTTTGATTCAATCACTGTGACTTATTATTAGGAGAGGACACTCTCAAATATCTCTTCTCCCAATTTGACTGATGATATTCGGTGGCTACCACCTGGGAATTTAAACTATGAAACACGGTTTCACTCAAAGTAGTGTAATTCAAATTATGTGATTCAGGATAGAACCCAGCAAATCAGATACGCAGTCAATTCTGCAACTCATTAACACTTTTAATGATGTATGAGTCCCACCCCAGGAATCATCACCCCTGCATTGTCCAACCCTTTAGGAAGGCTGGATAACAGGGTGGGAAAACAAGGAAACATAAACAACAAAAGGGAAGATCGTTTCTATTTCAGCTTCTACTCTTTGACTTATTGATGGACCTACAGCAGCTCTGTATGAAGAGTCCTAATTACTCTCCAAGTAGACTCAGCCCATAGACCCTGGGGGACCATCATTAGCCACTCCAGGCCACTTGTTTCTCTGACAAGCAAGGACGGCAGCTGATAGAAGTGCTTTGCAGGTACAAACATCCAGAGCAACCCACCAGGTCTTAAGAACACTTACCTGCCGAAACATCTCAGGAATATCATAGACATAGGATGTCCCTAAAGACTGTGCCTGGAATCTCTTGGACTGAAGCAGGTCTTTGGTCACGTACGGGGTGTTGATCAGCATCCCATGAAGTGGTCCCTGTTTATCTCCATATGCCTGGAACATAATCTGCAGCACAAGACACAACCAATTACTGCTTAATCCACTGGTTCCACGCACCTATCTCATCCAGACTTCCCCAAAAATCACCAGGCTATTCCAGATAGATGAGGCTTGTTTCTGTTCTCTACAAATATGTTAATACCTGCATATCCTGGAACACCGTGCTTCATCATGCGTTACTGCCCTTTGGAGACAGAGCTGGACCATTACTGCACGGCTCTGAGTATCACTGACTTATTACCATATCACAGCAGAAAGCAAAGTGAACAGAGCCACATCCCCACAGAAAAAAGCCTGTGACTTAGATGCCTTCACTTGCACCAGTATTTCCCCTGACACCGTATCTATGCCGATGGATTGCGATAGCTGGGAGCAGAGAGGAGAACTCTGTTATTTATGTAGTCGCACAGCACGGTATCCGTATCTCCACTGACTGATCACGAAAGCTAGGTCAAGACTTGCATATGTCATTTGGCTTGAAGTTTTGATATTATAAGTTTAAAAGATTTTCCCAGAGTAGCAACATGAATTATCAGCTGCCATGCTTCATGGCACTATATATTCCACTCAGCCAGGGCTCTGAAGGAAATCTATTTCAACAAAGAAACAGGAGGAGCACTGCTTAACTGGGACAACCCTGCACAAATGCTGCTTAATAGAAACACGCCTGACAGAAGCAACCAATGAGGCTGTTTCTAACACAATGGTGATCAGATCTGATGTTACAAATTGCAGATCTTTTTCTAATTGAAGGCAAATTAATTGAAGAATTCCACTAAAGATAAAATTCAGTAAGTAAAGCCTATTTTAGTTTTTAGATTAAAAACAGCAGTTCACACTTTCTTCACTCTTCACAAACGTTGCTTTGTGGAGTTGCTTCTTCAGTGGGAGAAACATTTATTCAGGATAAAAAAACATTTGTGACAGTGCCTGTGTTAGGATGTTCCTGTACTCAGGGCCCAATTCTCCATTTTTCAGAAGTCATGAAAGCACACAGCACATCAGTGATGTCTGAATTCTTTTAAAATAATTCTCTATGTTCAACATAACCCTCTGAAAATGTAGGAAAATACATACAGTTCTGAACCAGTTCTATAAACCTCTGTCACGAGGAGGAAGATCTACAAAGTCTGCAGGCGTTAGATTTTTAAGACAAACCTTCCACCCAGCTACTCAAAGAGTCAATTGAAATAATTCCTATCTGGACAATTTTTCAACACAACTGGTTTAACAGCTGGGTGAGTGTAAAATTAAAAAAAACAAACGTTGGAATATTGCTAAGAGCTGCACACACACAAGCACATTCTCCTAGCTTTAAAAACACAAAGCTCACCAGAGAAGGAGTTTAAAGAGGAAAGGTGACCTTCGCAAATGACTAAAAAAGCTCAAGTGTTAAGCTCAGCTACTGGAGATTATTAAAATGTCCTTTTCTTCCCTCATCGCCACTCAAAGGCAGAGGTGAAGCAAAGCATACAGACACTATCTGAGCTAGGATCTTCAGAACCGGCCGGACTGCACGGCGAGGCAGCTGGCTAGAGAAATTTCCATGGAGAAGAGGGAGAAAAAAAAGGAGACTCAGCACTCTCTGTTCAACACTAACGATGCCCAAGCGATTTATTTTTCTGCTACTACTGCAGGGCAGAGAGATTATTACAGAGGGAGATGTAAACATTTCTGTATTTAAATATTTTTCATGCGTCCTATGCTCCATGTATTTTAGGATACGTAGGTATTTCAGTTAACCACACTACTTCTAGGCCATGAAAAGAAGAAATATCAGAATAGCCACAACTATTACAAAAGAGCCCATTATGGTTCATAAAAGTGATATAAAAGCATCTTCAATAATTTTATATCATCCAACCCAGGTCATTCCCTACATCTTTAGAATTTAAAGGACAAGTTCACAGATTTTCTCTATCCACTCAGGGAAACGTATAATTAATATTTTTTATCACGACCTACAGGATGAGCACCAACAGTGATTACTTTTCTATTACTTTTTCAAGCACTCTGCCACAGAGGAACACAGACGTACAAATGACTGAAGGTACGCACAAAACAATCCTAAGATACGCGCTTTTACATCACTGACTGCATTTTGCACACCTATTGCAGGATTATCTTTACATTCTTCCTCCTTTGGCAAAGTTGAATGGCAATTTCATATTGCCTGAGAATTCCACAAACCACAGAAAAGCTTCATCAGACATAATGTGTACCCCCAGATAATCTGCCCATCAATAAATGGAGCGATATGGACCCGTACCTGTGCTGTTCTGGAGTCTGTCACTTCTTTGTACAGGCTGATGTCCAAATAGTAGCCTGACTCATTGGTCAAGAAGAGACGGATGGGAATTGCCTTCCCAGTCGGTGTCAACCGAATGTTGATCTTCAGCTCGGCTTGGAGGACACGGAGTTTCCACAGGCGACTCCCATAGCGCATCACCATGCTCCGCACAGATTCTTCAATCTTAAAACACACAAGAAGAATTTCCCTCCCCTTTCTGGTCACATCCACCTCTTTGTCACGCCCCCATCCCACCACTGTAAGGTCCTGCTCAAAGGGGCACTCCAGCATTCAGGTGAACCTCACAGAAGAGCAGAGATGGAAGCACCAAAAAGCAGCACGTGCCCAGTGCTCTTCTGGGACCTTGGTGGCCCGTTCGTTCTCCCCTTAACAGACCTTGAGACGTGCAGGAACTGACCTCAACCTGGGGACTACTGAGGTAGGGGACGGCGCTGGGTCCACATCCCTTTTTCCTCCCAGCACATCACACCCCAGCCATGCCCATGGCTTCCCCTTCATTTACCTTTCCTCCTGCAGACACAGCTCACAGCTAAGAACTACAAAACGCAGGCAAGTGAAATCCTTGACAAACAGTTATGTAGCACTTATACGCACAATAATCATGTTTCACCGCACATGCGGTACGGGGCTTTAAATCACCAAAGCAATTACTACTTGGAGCTTGGCCTTCTGGTGTTCTATTAAACTTTGTAATATACTACTGTTGGCAAATAGCACATATTAAAATAAGGCAATTTATAGTCTCTTTTTAACATTCTTTCAAAAAATAAACAGTCTCTTTTCCACAGCAGCTCAGGAAAAAGTCACGGTGCACATCTGAGGGCAGCCTGACTTCCACGGGCTGCATATCCCAGCTTCTTCAGACCTTTCTGGGAGCTGAAGGTTTTGGATGCACTGAGAGGGGATTTACTCAAAAACTACATAAGCCACCAATTTTTAATCATGATTTAAAAGTCAGCAAGCAAGAGACGGTTATTCTGATAACCAATTCATCTTTTTAAACTTTTCAGTTATTCTCATAAGGAAAGGTCAGCTCTCATCTTTCGGTAACCATGAACAGAATGTTGATTTCCAACTAAATGCAGCCTTTACAGTTTATTTGGGACTTTCTTTGTGGTGGTTCTGCTAACCAGAAACATGCTTTATGCCTAAACACTTTCATTTATGCACGTACAAAGCTTAATGTTCATTTATTTATAATGTTGATCTCTGCGGTTTTGTATCGGGGAATGAAAATGAGGCACTTCTTTTTGTAGCTCGATTTACAAATTCTTTTTAAGTTCATGATTTGTCTCACGTTTTATTTGGATAGAATCTGGACTTCTGTGACATTTAAAGCTATTTCCTTATTAAAATTGTTCATCTCAAACACACGACAAAAAAATAAGTTTAGTTTCAAACGCAAAATTTATTTCTAATAAACTGTTCCTTAGTTCACACAGAGGAAGTGAACTCCACTGTCTGAAGGACAGCGTTACTCCACTAAAAATATGAACTCTCCTAGTTCTGCAATCTATCTTACATTTAATACTGACTCACAGATGGAAGAAAAACCAGCGCTTTCTTCCTTCTTCATTGACAAACAGGTTTCTAACATGAAACAAACTAATTGCTTGCATTAACTAGCTAAAATAAAAATATTCTCTCTACTTTTGAAGGGAAGTTGGTTTAACAGCTCAATGAGCAGTCTCTAGTTAGAAATATCCATTAGTTATGTGACAACACTTTCTTTACTGAAAAGAAAACCTCCAGTATTCATACACAGAGTAAGTAAATTGGCTCTTGTGTTACAATTTCTAATACTGGTCCCCAGTTTCTTGTGCTTTCTGTTACAAAATGGCTAGTAGAAACTGCACGTCATTCACTGAACAGTATTAAAATGTAATCACTCAATAGGTAAACTTGCTTACAGAGCATAGCATAAAAAGACACCAAAATAGCATTTAACTCTGATGAGCCAAGCCCAAGGAAAAAAACAACAATTCAGATCTAGATGTAGACCATACCTTAGATGGGTCCATGATGACAGTAGGCACAAAATTTAAGAAGATGTGATTGCAGTCAGTGCGCACGTTGGTGTTATTGAATGCCACCTCCAACTCATCCATGGCTTCCAAAAGCAATCGCTCTCCCTCGTTTTGCAGATACTCAAAGGAGGCTTCCTGCCAGATATTGTCAACAAATAATTTCCTTTCTACTCAAAAATCACAGTCCAAGAACACAATGTTTGAAAAACTGCAGAAGGACTTGAGCAAGCAAATAAGCTACATTAGTTTCAGCAGATTGTGCCACCTTGAAACAGATCCATCCCAATCACAGTGCCAGTATTCCCACTGGCTGGATTCACACACCCAGCTGACTCGAGCCCTCATTTAGGCCAGCATAAATGTGAAACTAGAGGCACCAAACCATTATGCCAGTAGTGCAGGAGAAACAACTGTTGCCTCAAAATGCAAGCATTTCTGACTGTCCACTTGGGCTGAAGAAAAATCTCCTTGAAGCCCAGGAACATTAGGGCTTTGGAGATGTGCTTCTGCAGAGCCAGCACTGGCAAAGGGAGGGCACACATCCACAGGACTCTATGCAGGTAACATGTCTGCACGCAGGTTCCTAGGATGGTTTACAGTGTGACAAAACTTAACAGGTGACAAAACTCACCTTGGTAACCAGATCTGAATGCCTTATAATGGCCCTCACAAAGAACCTGTAGTCTGTCACTTCTGTTCCCACTTCAACTTTAGCTGCTCCCAGGTAGAGATGCATTTTGTGATTGGCACATGGAATGGCAGTGAGGTCAAAGTTTCGCATTCGGTTCAACTCTAGCTGAAAAGCCAGAGCTGGCTCCAGATGACGGTAGATCCTATCTTCCTCAAACTGGAGGCACCCGGTGTCATACAGGTAGAAAAGGGAGTAAAAGAGGAAGGTGGGTTAAGAAGCTGAAACACTGAGGATGGGAAGAACTAGACAACACCTATTATGAAATTTCATATTTAATTAAGTAGATAACAATGCAAATTAATCCATCTCCAAATTTTCTGTCTGATGCAGAGTCATTAGCACCAAGGGATGCACTGAATTTGTTGAAATACTGAGCGTAGGAGACAAACTGCAAGACAGCAAGTTTTCAAGCTCATCCTCCCCCCAAAACCCTCTTTTCACAGAAATCAAAAAGTTGCTGTTGAATCACTGTACTGCTTCCAACACCCCCTTGTTATGCTGTCACTAAAATCCTCAAAAACAAAAGCTTCAGGTCAGGCTGCCAGACGCGTGACTTTTTATTCCTAAATATCAGGGACCTGTCAGCGTTACTGACATCAATTGCTGTGTGTGTGGACAACTGGCCTCCAACGGAGGAGACGATACCACACCAGGCAGTGAGATTGGGCTGAAGGAGCTCTTGGACTGGCAAGGAACAGTTACATGAAAGAAGGATAAACGTATTAAGAATATACAACTTACCTTATCCCGGGCACGGAATGTGAAGAACTTTGGAAATTCCCTCTGTTTGAAAATAAAAACAATGATGTTAGCCCTTCAAAACAAGTTACCTACCCAGAGAGTGCTCACAGGTCAGACCTGGAGTAGCACCACAGCAGAGGAGATGACACAAGTTGTTATAAGCTACTTTTTCAACATCACAAAAGGTGGTGGAAAATCGAGTTACCCCCAACAAGGCAGAAGAGGCAGTTTAAACCTGTCTTCACTGCTAATGCAATAGATGCTACTGGATTGGCTTTTGATTATTATTGTCAATTATCAACAGACAATAACATGGAAATGTCCAGGCATGGTAGTGGGAAACAGCTTCTAGTTCTATTATTATGATGATCACTGTGGAAACGTTTGGGAGCCATGCAATGATATTAACACCCCATTATGCAAGCAGAGGTACACGAAACAATGATCTGCATCTATAGCTCTCTTCATACTATTACTGCTAGAAATACGCTCTCCCCAAGGAAAACTATGATTTGTAATCAAATCACTTTATCCTCGTGTATTAAATAGTACTCTACAAAAATCCCCCAAATATAGTTAGGTTTTTCTGTTATTCTATTGCACAAATAAAATCCTAGCAAATTGTAAGGGCTTTACGTTTTTGTGGCATATTGCACGTGTCTTAGACCAGAGAGCTTCCTTCCACCTGTCCCTCCAGTTCCACCCAAGCAAAGCCAGCCATTTCTGTGCAGTTACGCTTTGACCAAGTGGAGGAACTTCCATGATGCTTTGCACCAACATGAGAATACCGGCCTCTTATGCTAAAGGTGACACGGAAGAGCATACACAACTTGACAGAATTGTCTTATTAAGAGAACATATCTGACTTGGAGTCACCGAATTTCTGAATCTTATTTCACCATCAATGAAAGATGTGCAACCCTAGCTAGATTCAGCACACCAGTGCATGGTGACAGACAGAGTATAAGACTCCACTGAGCAACACAGCTTTTAAGGCTAGAAGTAATCTCCTAGCTAGTCGTCTTCTTTACATCCTATAAAGAACAGCCCCTAGAACTTCACCTGGTAACTCTCAGTTGAATGAAATAACTTGTGTTTGCCTGGAGTGTGTCTTCCAGAGTAGGCAGTGCTACAGGAAATCCTGCCTGAAAATTCAGGAAATGGATGTATTAGGTGAGCCCACGAGCATCAACTATACTCTAAGAAAACAACCACTTCCATGTTTCCTCACTTCTCTTCCAAATCCCTCCTACCTGTCCTCCTCTGCACGCTGCCAATTTCTCCTAACATCACCCATGCTCATTCTATCTCTAATGTAATTGCTTTTCACTAGTGTTGTGGGCAAATATAATAATTAGATGTGCACACACACAAAAATTCTCGGTGCTCTGGTACCAAAATCCAAAAGAGTGCTCCATTTCCTCAGCAGAAGAATTATACCCCTGCTGCGTTCTAATCAACCAACCATCATCAAGACAATCAAAATAATTTGCCTAAATTAGCCAATCAAGACACCCTGCAAACCGCAGAATGTGAAAAGCTACAACAGAAATCATCATAGTTGATTATTATACTAATAATCACGTTAAAAACCTAATGAGATGAGGAAATTGGAAGCTTGCTGGAGCAACTCTCTATTACCTCAACATGCTGGGAACTAATTATATAGACTGTAATTAAAACAAAAACAAACCCAAGCCCAGGCCCTGGCTAAGTTAATAGTTGGTCCAGTAATAAACGGAATAGAACAGGAGACAGTAATAAAGACTGACACTTGCAGGAGATCCCAGAGGTACTCTACTCTACAAACTTTGCAAACAGCTGACACACCACGCTGCCTCCTCTGGCTGCAGAACCAGGAGCATCCTCACAGCACATTGCCCTCAATGGCAGCTCGGGGCAAACTTTTTGTGATGACTCCTTTTATTGTTTGCCTCCTCTGTGACCACTGACACACACTGCAGTGCTCATTCATAAGACTGTTGTTTATCATTCCCAAAGTATCAATTCCATTCCCTAAAACTTCCTTTTTTTAAAAAAAAAAATCAAAAACCTGGTTTCTTGCCTAAGGTCCCCATACCTTTCCAAAGAGTTGTTTCCTCCATAAGTCGCTGATGGATACCAGTACGTATCGATGCCTGTACTGTGAGCAATGATCCACACCTGGTGATACCCACATTTGTTCAAATACTATTTTGCTGATTTGTAAACTAGTCTTCCTTTTCTAAAGCTTGCTAAGCCAGGTGTGTTGAGCACAGGATGAATTTCTTGCCCTTTCAAGACTCAAACTTCCAGAGTTGTAAAGCAGATAACATATGGGACAAAATCCGGTTTATGCCTTACATTGCCACCTTGAAAACAAGGCTAAAGTAGCCCTCACTGATTACCAAGGCCTTGGGAAAGAAATAATTCTTAGCAGTAAGAGCATCAAACATTTTCCACATCACTAAGTCATTATGCAAAATGTAGCGAGTCACTTCAATTACTCTGGTAAGTTATTTTAAAGTCAGTAAGAAGCCACACCACACTACATAAGAAACACAAAAACTTAAGAGTATAATTACATTTTAGAATACAAAACAATACTGAAACAAACACGATCTTTACTGATGTGGCAGTCATGAGCCCAGCCAGGTAACAAGAGAGACTTAGCAGGTGAATGGCCACACTGAATACGAAGGACCCACTCCTGTATTTCAAGTTGGATGTGCGCTTAAATACTTAACTCTGAAGCCAATGTGGACATTAAATGCCTGACTAAGAACCCAGTGAGAAGCCCAGAGTCACTAACAACGTCTCCTGGCCTCAAGTCAAGAATACCACTGTGGTCTAGGCCCTTTTTACTTACATGAAATCTCTGATCCACCTCATAGTTGACCTGTTTCCTGAAGTCCTTATAAACGAAATGTACAAACACAGGAAGACAAGATAAAAAAAAGCAGAAGAAAGCTAGCAATTAGGATAAAAATCAAAAATCAATTAATTCAAGAATACAAGAGGTATCAAGATTGTTTACAATTGTAAATTAGTTTTCTTAAGCAAATTCATCAAAACCATCTCAAATTTTAGAGAACAAAAACAGTGAAGAGAGAACTAAACAGAGTTAATACAGCTTTTAATTTGGAAAAAAACACATCAAGCGTCAGTGCTATTACGAGCTAGAAAGTAAAGAGTTCTGAGCAGCACGAGAGACATCAAAATACCTTTTGTGCTACAAGGAAAGTCAGCCTCCGAATCCCATGTTCAATCAGGACCGATTTCTGTAAAAAAGGCAAGGCTGGAATCAGGTGAATGGAGTAACAGAAAATGAACACATCATAACCACGTCAAAGCCTTCTATGAACCGAAAAAGCTCTGCAGATCCTCCCGCACCTGTGCTGTAAGTTCCTCACCCACATCAGTCTACCTGTACCTCAGATTTCTCATCTGATGATCATCTGATAGCGCACATAAGCAAACACGCTAACTCTGAGGAGGTAAGTGACCAAATCACAAGAACATGATATTCCAGCTGAGCCACACTAGCAAGTAAAGCAGAAGAGTCATTACAAGTCTTGCAGGAAATACCCATTTGCCAAAGGAGGCTGGTCTTTTTTGCAGAGATTACATTTTGAAGGAAGCACCACAGACATGGTAAGGCCACGGAAAATGATGGAAAATGGGTTTTAAAGGAACCAACCCCAGGAAACATGTGGCACATACTTGATCTTGACACAAGCACCCAGACAGCCCAGCCCAAAGGACGGATGTGTCAATACTGCAAAGGTGCTAAGGGACAGATGTTACTTAGTTTTTTCAAACAGATGAGAGAATATCCATTCTGGTTGCTTCTTTATCAAATTCCACTAAGCCACATTTCAAACGAGTGCTGCCATCAATATTTGCCACACCACTGAACTTTTGAAGTGTTAATATCTTATAATTCTGCTCTTCCTTTCTCCTCCTTTTTCCAATTTAAAAGCGAAGAAGAAAAAAAAAAGAACAAAAAAGAAACAAGAACTCAGCTAGATCGGGAACAAAACGACCCTTTTCAGCACAGACTGAAATGTTTTACTAAGGTTAAGCCCTTTGAAAATGAGCATCAGTGACTATATTCATGGGAAGAGGAAGAAAATAACTTTAATAATGCCATGATTTAAAAAGCAAAAATTGTTATTGCTTTTAAAATTCCACAAGTGGCAGACAATAACAGCATAGCAACAGGATTCTGATTACATCGTAATAATGTGGGTCTCACAGCAAGTCCACAGCTATTACAGAGCGATTAGCCATCAGCACCTGGAGAAACTCCATTTACACTGACTGCCTCAATCTCCTCCACAAGTCATTTACAAGTATATGATCCTAATTTCTATTAAAAAAACCGCACACAACATGCTGGGACAAGAAGATTATTTGGACAATTTGGATCAACCTATTTGATAGTTTAATGTGTTTTGGAATTTTTTTTTTATTATTTCTTTCCTTTTATCCCCTCCCATAAAAACGCCTGGAGCATGATCAAGCAGATGAAAAGCAGAACTGGTTTTAATTTTTGTATTTGATGATTTTCTTTGCTTAAAGAGACAGGAAGCTGCTGAAGTCACGTGGATGCCAGCCCCATTTTGGATCCCCTCGTTTCTGTATTACCACCTCCTACACTGAGAAGTGAGGTTAGGAACTCCTCACTCAGCCCTCCTGTAGTCACTGCAGGTACCACGGGTGCAGTAGAGGCTCAGTGCCTGGTGGGATTATTCACATCCACCAGCCAGCTGAGGAGTTCTTCACGCCAACCAGAAAAGCAAGTGCAGGCAGACACCAGAGAAGGCTCTCCCCAGCGCTCTCAAGTAACCACAGGACTAACATTTAGTAATCTACAGTCTATCCCATTCTTATAAAGGAGCAACAGAACAAATCAAATCGATTCCACCTTGTGCCAGAAACATCACACCAGGTGGATGCTGCAGCACGCCAACACGAACAAATGTTAATTGCATTGCGACTATCACGATACAGAAAATAGACACCATTTCAATGTCCCTTTCCATGCCCCTGTTACTTATATAACAACTTCACACATTTTTTCAGAGCATCTGGGAATAGATATTGAAGATTGACCCGATGCATTTAAAACCTTAAAATGTCTTCTACCCTATCAAAAATTAAAGGAAAGAAGCCCTGACTTGATGGATTAGAACACAATGAGAAACAACGACTGGGAGGTTTCAGAAAGGTGCAGCTACATCCAGTCACAGAAGTAGTAAGGTTTTAGATGGGATAAATTAAGGATGTAACTGTTGCTTTTTCTTTCTCTTTAAAAAAAAAAACAAAAACAAACCACCAAAATCCAAAAAACCCCACAACAAACCAAAACAACCAAAGAAAACCCACCTGACTTTTCCCAGGGCAGACAGAACCGCCCTGCACAGTTGTACAGGGAGAACCGAGGCAACTTACCTTGCTTTGTGTGAACTCTCTGAACATGGCTGCCAGCCCATCATCATCAACATCGCTGTCTGTCTTAATAGCAACATTGAGAATGTGAATGGGCTCCTCGCGGGCAGTCTGCAATTTAAAGAAAATATTCCCCGTGAATAAATAGTTAACAACTTAACACCCGTAAGTTCTCAAAAGAGGGTCCCTAAATCTAAAATTAGTCCCCACTCTAAAATACAGATGGTCCTAGGGAAAAATTGCCTCAGCGGAGCACACTGTAAACCAAGGAAAACTACGAGGGAAATCCTTGACCAAGCAGCCTCCCACATTTGCAGTTTCACAGAAGTGGGAGTTAATATCTTCAGACAGCAAAGAGGAGCTTCATTTGGAGAATCCAATTCTGATGGTCACATCTGGCTTGGCTAACTCAAGTGTGCTTCATTTGGATGTAGAAAGAATGCGGGGTCACGGCCCCTCTTTAGAAGTTACAGTATAGGCAAGAGATTAGAGGACTTTGACATCAAGAAAGGTAATGAAATTAAGCAAATTCAAAGTGTAGGAGCAAAACAATGTGTGTTTTCATATCTACAACAAAATGAAATAATGTGGAAGCATCAATTACATTAAAGCTTTGAAAAATGACCAGTTCAGCATTTAAGAGCCTGCAGTTAACTGTGAAAAACTGAGTATGAACAGGAAGTTATCCTTGGTGAGGTGAGGGGGAGGTAAAGAGAGAGATCTGAGGACATGAAGGTTGATGGTAATATCCTGGAACAAGGCTACAATACTCACACACATCACGATCAATGGATCGGTTTAAAACCAAGCCCTGGTCTGGACACAGACCGTGCTCCAACAGAGCTCCCCACTGCTGGGGGGGAGGACATGGCAGTGGAGCAGCTACCTGTGTCTCTAAGGGAAACTGCTCTTCTGTCGCTAAGGATTACAAACCATCTGCTTCCTCTGCACCTGTTCTCCACATTGACATAAAAATTGAAGGGTTCCTCTTGTCTTTTCCTCCTTAGAAACAGTTTTAAGAGGTAGAACAGAGGGAAGAATCAAAATGTAATGTGACTAGGAAGGGTGTAAGACAGAAAATAAGGCAAGTCAGACTTAAGGTAAAGGCAGTTGAATATACAGTTCAACACCCAAATGCACAGAGAAGGTCTGGAAACTCAGTCACGAGTCTAAACTCTGAGTTACGCTGCTATGGATCCAGTAATTCTGCTGATGTTAAAAGCTACAAACTAAATTTACATGGAGAATAAGAGACTTTAGTAGTTTTAGAATAGAGTCAGAAAATGGCCACCTACTTTGAATCACCTGCTGTGGAAGAAGAAAACAAATTGCATACATCACTACATAAAGCTCTTAACTCCTGCTTCCAGCACTCGAAATAGTGAAAAGCATCTAGCCTGCAGTCACTGCAGCATTCTGCATGCCTTCTATTTCAGACCTATGAGCAATCTCCAGAGAAAAAACTACTGTACCTTGTCTTCATCATACAAGGAAGCACGGCCAGCTTCAGGGAAGGTTGGGCTCTGGGGAGGAGAGTCGCAGAAGCAACCCATCACTTCATCAAAGATTCTGAAATACACCAGAGAAGTATTAGTCTTCAGCACACTGCTGCTAGCCCACTGAAAGCACTAAAATCCACAAATCATGTTGCTAAAGAGGGGAGGGAGAGAAAAGGACTCCCTTCCTTTGCAGTACTGAAACTCAAAATATGAGGAGGCAATTCCTCCTCCACCAACCAAAGCACAGCTTGGACCTCTTAACATTTGTCAGAGATCTTACGGTTGCAGGCCCTCATGACTGCTACAGGCTCTGCTGGGTTTTTTTGCCTACCCCTAGAAGGTTGAAAGCAGAAAGAACATATCCTCCCACATATATACACGTGAACCAGAGCATTAGAAGAAATCAGCACACTTGCAAATGATCTCTAATCAGAAATTCAAAATGCTGATCCTTCTGGCTGCAAACTGCTCTTACAGCAGCCTGAAACTTTCGGTTATCTCCAGGAGACAGATGAGGGGATCCAAACAAACTTCCACCTGGAACTCCAGAAATTTAGCAAACAAACTCAGGATCAGTTTTTACTCACCTGACTCTAGACAAGACAGAGATTTTGTCCAGTTCTACTGGGGCCCGCCTAAGCAGCTGACAACACAAACGATCGCCACCCTTCCCCACGTACCTGACAAAATCTTCAAAGGTGCGGAAGGAGACCATTCCACCCATCCGCTGGCACGGCGGAGTGAACGAGTTGTCCAGCAGCACATCACTCACGCTAGCGACGTGGACCATCCCGTAGTGGTTGAGGTTGGAAGAGAAGGACATTCTAAACAGCAGTTCAATAAGATCACAGTTAGTAGGGACAAGGGAGAGAAGATCATCACTGGAAAAAGAGTTGTGCACATGCATATGTTGGACCACTTAAAGTGTGGCTGTTTATCCAATGTAAGTGTTTATGATTTGTTAGGTTCTCCAGCACGCCAGACCTGTCTTCTCCACAGTCCCTGCAATGCTGGCATGCCTCTGGTGCCGTTAATGCCCTTACCTGGACGTTGTCCCAGTGTACAGAAACAGTTATATGAGTTAGGAAATAATGTTATAACCCTTTAAAACAAGTGTTTCTTAAGGAGTTTCTTGAGATGACAGGCAAATTACGACTATCCAAAGTTGAATATAATTTTCCTCCTCTATGCATGTGTCACTTTACAGGTGGAATACAGAGATAATAACTCTAAGCTTTGACACTCTAAAGATTTAGTAAATTTTTACCAATTAAGTTGAAGTGTACCAATCTGTATTATCTTACTGCTATTTCTCTGGTCATACTATAACTTACACTCCTCAAATGCGGTGTGTACAGTGACCTCTCTAAAATCCTATACTGGAAACAGGGTTTTCTATAGTCTTACACTGTTATTCCTACCCTAAATAAAGTCCTATTACAGTGCCTTCCACTTTAACTGCTGACCAAATTAATGTGCTCCTCCATCTAATTTAATCCATACTTTAAAAACATTGCAAGTCCTCCTACTCATTTATTTTGCTCATGATTGCTAAAAGGCAGCAGCTGCTAAATAGAAGCAGTTTGCCACAGAACACATCTGTCTTAGGGAGCGGGGAAGGCAGAGCTCCAGACACCTACTACTGTTGTACTCGTGCCTGATGTCTACTGCCCAAGCCCTGAGCTACACCGCAGTACACATCACTCGTACAGGACCAATTCTTTCTTTAAGTGAGGAGGACTGGAGCAGATTTACACAGGCTCAGAGATAGGCACTGAGTAAGAGACTTCCATTTAAAGCAGGAGCTGAAGGTTGGTTGGTTGTTGGCTGAAGGTCAGCGTTCCTTCTGGGCAGAGGGCAAGGTCCTGAATATACTGAAGTATCACTGAGTTCTCATGCAGTTCGACTGCTATGGCAGCACACACCAGTTGTGTAACAGTTTGTGTTATTTTGGGGGTCTGAGACACTATTATTCTTTTCATGTTGTTTTTTAAAATTGTTATTGTCAAGACTAGCAGGGAAGTTTCTCACACAGTGAGCAAAAATCATACAACTAAGTAGACATCCTTCCCTACCCACTAGAATTGCGTTTTGTCTCCTCTGCAATAATTATTTCTGATTTCTGAACTGTGCTACAGAGTCATCTTTATTCACTGCGGGACCTTCTTCAAAAGCTCCCTGCAACATGGCAAGAGTTTCAAGCCTGCTCTGAAGAGGCAGAAATGCCGACTGGCACACCACAGTGCTCTGCGACACAGGAACCGCACACTCGCACTGGCTCCGCTCCCCCAGGGCTTAGGAAGACATGAACCAAGTTACGTTTCTGTCCTCCCCAAATGGTGCCACAGCGGGAAGCAGAAGACAATGGGGAGAAACAAAAATAAACCAGGGCACTGACTCAGCACAGCCCATGCTTGATTTACAACTTGTGAAGGCAAAATGATGCTCAGCTGCTGTGCTAGATCAGACACCCACGGCACTGCAGGTAAAGCAGGGGCCCAGCCATGCTGGCTATGGTGCTGCTGGCAGGCACACGGGTCAGGACCAGGCTGTGGAGCGCTGACACCGCTACTCACCGGCTTTACTGAGATGTCTGTCTTTTTCATGTACAGAAAACCATTGTGATACGGTCCTAAGTATACTGTTAACAAGTCTAAAGTATCATCAGTTTGATAAATAGCTCTCCATGTGTTAAGTCACTCTATGTTTCTGTAATTTGTCTCTGATTAAGAGCCATGAGACTTTCAAGCCCATTTTTACTCTTTTCCCCTAAATAGGCTTGTAAGCAGTAGTAAGTAATAGGTATTCATGTTCTGAAAGAGAAAAATTTTTCAGGACATGCCTTGGTGTACATTTCTTACAACTAATACAAAAAATACCACAGAACAGTAACTAAACAAAAAGACAGCAGACATTTTTCATGTATTATTTAAAACAAGAAATACTTTTCAACTGAGACACGGGAGGAAAAATTAGCATCCAAAACACAACAAAACATGCTGTCAGCTGTTTGAGATGTAGATTCATCTATGGTGTGAGAGAGGTGAGACAGCCCCAACAAAATCTAAGCTAGCTGCAAGAAACCAGAGCAGCAACAGGAATGCTGCGGGCTAGGAGCAGGTATGCTGCCTGTTTCACTGTGACACCCTTCCAGAGGGTCAACAGCTGGGAATCCAGTGCCAAAAGAGAGACCCTAGAAACAGCGTTCTGCTACAAGTTTGCTGTGTACCATGCTGCAGATGAGCTGAGTCACCTGGCAAATTTAATTTCTAAAGATTGCTGCATGCAAAGCTTTTTTACAGGGTAAAGAAAAGCTGAAAACATGTTTTAGACAAAGGGAGAGGAAAAGGGAAGGAATCAGAAGAGTTACGTTCGAGAGCTTCCCAAGTAAAGATAAGGAAACTAAAACAAAACATGTTAAAACATTAAGTATTAGGCTACTTCTTTCTAGTCTGTCTTTTCAAATTTTAAAAGATGACAAGTACCATACCTGTTTAGCGTGGGGATGTTCCCTCTGTAATCAAACAACCACAGTTAGTTACAGATTGGTTAGTGAAAGCCATAATACAGAACGATCATCAAGCTGGTACACATACCAGCAACAAGTTTACAATTTACTAACCCCAGCTTTGTCAACCATCAGGAATCAGGCAAAATTCAATTTCAATGACTCTGAGAGGGCAACCACCACCTGACTTCGCTTGCTGCGGCTGCCAAGAGAATGAGCACAGGCCACGCACATAACATGCAGAAAATACACCTCAGGAAAACACACTGTATTTGCAGGTACCCTGCAATTCCATGGCGTCTCTTATCGTACCCACTCCAAGCCCTTTGCATTCACAAAGTGAGCTTCTCAAGCAAGACCAGAGGGGGACATTTGCACTCCCTGACAGAAGGGCAAACAGCACAGATGCAAAAAGTGACCGTTTCGCACAGGAAGGTTGCAACAGGTTCAGGAAAACAAGCCAAATCCTCATCGCCAAACCTCTACGCTGAGCGGCAGCCCATGCGCTAGCTCCCACAACAATGCAGTAATAAAGCAAACACACACATTAACACCATGTAACACTTTGCATTTTCAGCATTCAAGGCCTTGTATACCGAAAAGAACAAGCAGGACTTCAGGCTAATTTTAGGAAAGTGTTACAGTTTCTTTTGTAACCCCAGTCCAACTCTTCATAGTTTCGCATGCAGACTAGGGCTTAGCGATGCACGTAAGGCAGAAGGAAGGAGAGGGTTACATTTTCATACCAGTGTAAGAACAGCACAGCCTAGCCCATCCCAGCTACATTCATGAAATTGCCGTTTTCCAACATTCAAAATAGTCAAGATTAAATCGGGGAAAAAAGTACATGCACAAGGGAGGCTTGTGCAACGAGATCAGCAAACGTAAAGAGATTGAAAGCAAAGCTTCAGGGAGTGTGTAACTGGACATTCACCCTCCCCTTCCCCACAAAAACCTGTAGGAGATCAAACCACAGACTGTCTTGACATCTTTGGCCACAGGCAAGACCCCAAGATACTGGGCTTTAAGTCTCAGTACTTAATGACCAGTGTATTTCCATGGTCACGCCACAAAATACACTGTGCCTGGTCCTGATCACAGACTGGTTTTGTCACAGCAGAGTCATACTCACTACAAGACTGTATTTTTGGTGCACTACTGGTAGAGGTACAAAAAGTTTCCATGATCTCCTTAAGCCATACAAGAGAAAGCACAAAACAGCCTAAAGAGGTAAATAACATAAGTATTTAATTTCATTTCGAGACAGTGGGGAGAAACACTGTGCTGTAGAGCCTATGGTTAGGGCTGAAAGGGCCAAGAGGTCTCAGGGGGTTGAGACTGGCTTTTTAGCTCGGCAAATAGTAGGAAAGCTGCACGTGGTCTACTTCAGCTGGAAAAAATAGTCCGGAGAGGACTGGGAGTTCCTACACCTGGTACAATTGTGCAGTGGTCCCTGGAGCGCTTTCAGAAAACAGACAAAAAACCCAGCAGAACAAACGCTCCTTTCTGTCTCAGAAAGGCTCCCTGTGGCCTTGCTCCAGGGCTCTCCAGCCACTCAGTATGGAGCTGAGCAGACTATGGCAAGAATCACGATGAGGAGAACAGAAGATTCAGTGGCTGGAGGTGCCTGAAAAGAAAGAAGTCTTCAAGCTGCACACTATGGGGCTGGCTCTGCACTACAGGTCATCAGAGCTGTGGAGGGCTTTTTTGTAGCACAAGCTGAGTTGTCACTTGTCACTGAAATGCACTAAGAAGTAAAGGCTTGGTATTTACAGCACCATCAGCCTTGTGAAAAGGCAATCCAGTCCACTCATGGAGCTACACCTCAGCAGCTCGACAAATAAAACACCCGTGGCTCGGCAGCCTGCTCAGCCACACCAGCGCAACCAGCAGCACGGCAGTTCTGGGAGCTAAGCAAAGGCACAGTTGTCGGAGCACGCACCAACAGCGCTTGGCACAGCCAGCTGCATGCAGCTGATGGCAGGATCAGAAACCCTCCGACCACACCAGCCCCAGCCCCTCTCCCTGGCTCTTCTGAACTTTTAAAATGGCCCTTCCTGACTGAGGAAGCTGATCTCGCTAGGAATCTGCTCCACACCGGTGCAAGCTCTGCTGCTACAATTCCTCGTCTTCAAGCAAACACATTTCCCTTAGCTCCCCACCCCCCTCCTTTTTTTTTTTAACAAGAGCGTTCTCCTATGAAAATGATGGCAATGCATGCAAAGCGCCACTGGTTATATCAAGCTGTGATTGAGTGCCAGCGCAGGGCAAAGCTTTTGAAATCAGGCAGCAAAGCGGAATCAGCAGAGGTTGGCTGAATAACCCACTTGTAGTTATTAACAGCAGTACCACAGGAGAAAGAGCAATTCCACCGGCTGTGACCAGTGGCATTCCTCTTATGTTTCTTCATTTCAGTCGAAGAATCTAAACAGAAGGCTGTGAAACATGCCTCAAACCATACATTTTGATTGGGTTTTTCCTCTCCCTCTTTCTTTCCTTATTCTTCTGCTCCCTCTGTGATTCAGCCAAGCTGAATCTGCTACTGAAGTCCAATTTGCATAAAATTATCATCGTTCCATTCAGTTTGCTGCCCCTTCAACAGCCCCTTCTTTGCTCTGTTGGAAGAGTTTGCCCTTTCTGAAACAGACAAGCCAAGGGAACTGCAGCACATTACTGCTGCCTGCTGGCTAATTAACATCAAACCCTCAGCATGGAACTGCAGGGATTTACAGGTGTCCTGGAATCGTTTTCCCCTTCTCCGTCCCAGTCTCCCGCAACACAGAGGGGACCTCAGGCTACCCAATGGTACACTACGAGTTACACACTCGGCTCTCCAGGCTGGGATGTTTAAGAGCCCAAAGCAGCGCAGCTGATTCAGTACTAGTGATATAAAGAGTGATGCGAGAGGTTGTTTTAGCAACTGCTTTGGTCCACAGAAAATGCTTCCATTTTGTCAGGAATTCAAATCTTATGAGTATCTAATTGTAAAATGATAGCAGGAAGGAACCTATAAACTCTGCTCTGAGTGTAAGCAAGTTTTGGTTTCTTATTCTTCTGTAAAAAGCACTGTCGGGAAATGGCATTATTTAATTTGCCTTTCAGCCTTCAAAATTATTTCTACCTGTAAGCTAAGGAAGAGGCTGACACATAAGAACAACCAAAGTACTCCATAGATGATAAAACGATCAAGAGACAGCAAAGGAGAGATCATGCACCACTCTTAAGCCTTGAAATCAGCAACATCGAAGTCCAAGTAAGGTATCAACAAACATCCACAAGCACAGAAAGAGGAGACACTGGGCAACACCAAGCACAAGATGGTTGAGACATTTATACTGATACCCTTGGAAATACAACACAATCAATGACTAAACCTGCATGCCACCCTCAGAAGCATCCCAGACAGCAGGATGCAGTCCCAACACTGAATTCAACCTAAATGAGTCTAAGTAAGGCATCTGCCTGTCACATTGTGTGCACTCCCAATTGCAAACACAACTACCGTTACTTGGTAACTGACAGCTTGTTTATCAAGTTTTAAAAGTAACACTTGCTTAAAGCTAACTAAGCCAATTATCAAAACTTAAAAGTCTCAATCTGCTGCACTAAAACCTTTCTTGACCTCCAATTTCCTTTGGGGTTCAACATACTCAGAAGGCAAAGCCCCATGGTATCATTACCATACCCCAGAACAAAGATATATCCAGCATCTCTAAGTCACTCTTGTCAGCAACTGTCTTGGCATCTGACAGAGGGAACACAATCACCTCTGAGTAAAACAGATCTGTTTTGTAGGAACACATTTACCTCTCAGTTCTTCCCTTCTTATCCTCCAGCACATCAGCTGCTGGGGAAGGAAAGATCAAGAGAGCATCTGAACAACCTGGCTGGGGAACGCAGTGAGCTGGAGAAAAGGGGGTGCTTTAGGAGGAGCAGTGCAGCAGCACAATTCTGCAGTAGGCTCCAAAAGCTGGCTACAGCAGACAATGTCCCAGTTTAATTTAAACCTTACAGCTTCAGACATAAGAAAGGCTGTTCAAAAGCACGAGAAGAGAAGGGGATTATTAGAAAAAAAAAAACTTCTCCTGTTGAAAAAGCACTATAATTCCCTCTCCCTATACTCGACACACAATGCTTCTTTGAACAGAAGATTTTAAGCTAAGATTAGGCAAGCACTGTTTCATGCACTGAACACCTAAGAGAGGCCTTTCAGTATCTGTCACCTGGCTTGCCATTCTCACAAAGGAAGCTGAACTCTCTAAACACCAGTCAATATTCCACCAGCTTCCCATCTCAGCAGGGCAGGCTGAACTAGAGGGAAGCAAAGAACAGCTCAGAACAGGGCTCATTTCTCTCTCACATCTTTTCTCCCCAGGACTCTGGATGACTGAAAGAGGCAGGTTATCCGCATGCAAGGGGCTCCGCACATGAGCATTTGTTTGCAGTACCCTGCTGCAGCATGTAGCGATCAGCATCCCGGAGATACCCTCGTATCGCTTCCTCCAGATTGGATTACTGCAACGCCCTCGACTTGGAGAGGCCTTGCAAACTCCATTTACTGCAAAAGGCACCAGATGGTTACACCGTACTCCTCATCTGCCTGGCACCGGGCAATAAGGAGCGCTGGTTTTGATCTATAAAGCCCTCTATGGTTTCAATTATGAGCAGTTTTTCTCCCTATGTCTTACACTTGCAAATCGGGAGCAGTGGGGATTCTTACAACAGGACGTTTTCTATTAATTTAAACAAATAATTCCCAAAGCAGTTTCTGCCCAAAAAACCCACCAGGAGCAGGTTGCATTTCTATTACTTGGGTAGCAGATTTAACAGCTTTTCTTTCTTCTCTGCTTCCATGTAAAGCTTTCCAGTGGGTAGTTGATGGCAATCGTTCAGTGACCAAAAAAAAAAGTCTGAGTGCTTAGCTGTGATTAGACAGAGCAGAAGTAGCGACTGTGATTGTTTCTGTTACAATTAAGTAAAGGCATAGTGGGGTTAAATACCAATACTAAAGAATTTCAATATAGCAACCATTATCAGTTTGCAATTTTCTCTACATGAATATTTGCTCCAGTAAAATTCAGGCCCTTAAATGTTCAGAGAAATCAGAAACAAAAGAGACCAGGGCTTAAAAGTACCTTATAAAGTGCTGAAAAACGTGTGGCATCATACAACTAACACCAGCTCCAAACCAGAATGGTCTCTTAAAGATGCCCTGGTACTTACTCCTGGTTCACCAGGACCCAACCCTGCAGAGCCTCAAAAAACATCTTGCTTGGTCAGCTGGGATATTTTGGCTTTGGGGTTTGTTCTTGGAATGCATTTTTAGCTTTCCAGTCTACAAGTTCATGCTACAGAAGATACAGAAAAACATACAATGGACATAAAACATGGTCAAAACCAACAAGGACAACTTAAGTAAGACAATGTCAAAGTTTCGAGATTTCTGTGTCTTGGGCTTAACATAAGGTCTGCCTTTACAGCTAGCTTAAATCGACACGCTCAGTGCTGATTTAAGACCCTTGGTATCCTGCTACCGGCTGTGCTTCAGCACCCAGCCACACAAATAGCCGCACAAGTAGGTACACACTGCAAGAAGCTGCATCAAGCAACAGGAGCCAAATCAATCACTAACAGACGGAGGTGCAACTCAAAGGAACTGAACCTGCCTATGTAAGCAGTGAATTTGTCCCCAAGCCTGCTTTCCTCTGCACAAGGACTGCGTTGCATTTTCAGGCAACCATTGGCACTGCTGATGGTTGAGAAGCGGAACAGAGCTTCAAAACATTGCCCCAGCAACTTCAGCATAAAAGGGAGAGGAGATTTCAAGACAAAGCAGCCGTTCCCCAAGCAGGTAACAGTTCTCCTCCAGCTGACCTTGTCCAATTAAGCTTGCGCACAGTAATAGAGCAGTGGTCAGCATGGGCAGGCCAAACAACCCCCAAGCAGAGGTAACTGAGACCAGCAAAGAGAAGAAATGGAGAAAGAATGGTCGGGGAGAGAATATTACAAAGGGACACTAAAAATAGTATGCAATTATTTACAAATATTCTAGAAATGTAGGAAACAGATGAGACCAAATGCATGTCCCATTTGTATCATGAGTGTTTTGTGCAGCTTGTTGAGGACAGTCATTCATTTCTAGCAAACCAGATTCTAAAAACCATTTCATAAAATGTACTGATGGATTCTCAATGAAGCGAGACCAGACCCCGTTGCCCAGCCTCACCAAAAATAAAATAAGGAAAAAGACGTCTGGAAACAAAGGAGAAAAACAGCACCAGTACCACGCTGCCAGAGCAGCGCAGCCCAACAGTGGCACCCGGCGGCCACAGAGCCTCACTGCGCCTCTCGGCTCCAGCGCGCTCCCCTGCCCGGGACAAAAATAAAACACCAACTAAAATACCCTCCTGAGTTCCTGCTGCAAATGCAAAACAGACGGGAACAGACTAACCTGACAAATGCTGAAGAAGTTCTGATAATCAAATTTGCCTGTTTGTTTTTAAATTATCTTAGCACTCACTAGGAGGTGCAACCCCTCTTCTGTAAGGCAGGGCAGTAAATAGTTGATGCTTTTGGTTGCAGCCGTGAGAAATACATTCTGAAAAATACTGACTGAAAACCAAAGTATGTCAACCCTAGCATTTCTATGCTATTTCTATGCATTCATACATGCATCTTGGTCTTCTCAGTCAAAAAAAACCCACATGCTAGAAAAGATTCCACCTTATCCAGTAAAGCCAGGTTTGAAAGCAGAGCCAATCACAGATACAAAGGGCTGGCAGGGGACAGAGACTGTTTGACTGTGCTCTGTTAAAATCTCAAGTGAGGGATTGTTCTGTCTGGAATTGTATCTTTTGGAAGGCTTGAGATTCAGCCAGAACTGAAGTTCTAGAGGAAAGTTACTACACAATTTGCACTTAAAAAAAAATCAGAAAATACATGAAAACTACATTTTCTTTGAATTAATCCAAACTGCAGAAACTACTACCCAAAGTTCCTGAGGTTTTAAATAACTTAGGAAAAGGAACTGGGTAGTGTAGGGTTTTATCTCAAATAACTTGTGCTAGTTTGAGGCACTGGGACTCTCTCTCCACCAATTCTATCGCAAGATTTCCTTGCCAAGATAGGATGTAGCCCCTCATAAACCTTCGATTCCAAAGCCACCTGAACACGGGATCTGACCTGTTCGGATGGGAGGTAGGTAGCATGAACTGGAACTCCACCACACACGTGTTATCCTTCAGCTGGCGATGCTGGACACTGTTTAACTCATAGGCAATATATGCCCTTCGAACATACACCTGGTTAGAGAGAAACTTGATCAGCTTAACTGTGCTAAGGAAGCACAAGGAGAGAAAGAAGACAAATAGTACACCAGAGACTTCAAAAATATTAAAAATCAAACAGATACCTCCAAATGAGTATCTAGACAGAACTCTAATACAACCAGAATTTAAAGCTATTCTGTGGAAAAGGCCAGTCTGGCAGGATACAACCATCAGCACAAGGCACACAGGGCAGGCTGACCACGTTCTCTGACAGCAGCTTCACTTTCAATCCTTTCAAACACCTAAGCCTTCTTCAAGCAAAGAAGATAGTTTGCATCTGAAATTTCAGTCAATTATGAATACAACTGCTGTTAAATGCCAGACTCCAAGTATGCCAGATTCTATACAACCTACAGCTCTCTTAATCTTGCAGGGTAACAGTGCTCAAAACAAATAATCAAAAAACCCCACCAAAACAAAACCCACAGAATTTAAAAACAATATTTTTCAATGGGAATAAACTTACCTCCAAAGCTGCCATCCTTACCACCTGGTTACTGTGATAGAAAAAGTTGGGTAGCACATCAAAGATAGATGTCTCAGATAAAATGAGTTTCTAGAAGAAATAACATTAAGCAGAGTTTTAAAAAAGAACTGCCTGTCTTGCCAAGAGGGTCAGGCAAAAAACCAAAAACCTCAAATCAAGCCTGACTAGTTCTGATTTCCATGTTTTTCCTGCTGTTCATCAAGGATTATAACTTTTTAATATTATATTAAATCATAGGATATCTCAAGCTGGAAGGGACTCGTAAGGATCACTCCCTGCTCCTCCCTTACCTGAAACTAAACCATATGACTAAGAGGGTCATCCAGACGCTCCTTGAACTGTCACAGGCTTGGTGCTGTGACCACTTCCCTGGGGAGCCTGTTTCAGGCACCGACCATCCTCTTGGTGAAGAGCCTTTTCCTAACATCCAATCTGAACTTCCCCAGGTGCAGCTTCATCCCATGTCCTATCACTGGTCACGAGAGAGAGGAGAGCAGCGGCTCCCCCTCCACTGCCCCTCTTGAGGAAAGTGTAGACTGAGATGAGGTCATTCCGGTATCAGTGCAGGAATGAAAACAAAAGTGAGGGGGAAGCCAAAAACCAGAACAATACCATTTAAGTCCACAAGGACCTGGGGTCTACAGATTAGATTTAATACAGAAACATTAAGATCAGGAGAGAAGTTTGGTAGATACCTGCAGGTTCTCAATGCAGAACTGGTGTCCATACATGTCAATAGCAGACAGGAAGATGGACTCCACCTGGTTGTGACGCAGCTCGTAGGATGGCAAATGGGAAGCAATGAGAACCTGGTAAACAGCACACACAAGGAGAGTCAGTGACAGGGCTGTGCTGCGCCATTGGCAGGAGGCTGTTACCTCCATGGCAGCAATAGTCCGCTCCACCCCAGAAGCGGCGACTGGTTTCTCCCATGAATTTTGTGGCACCTGGGTGATGCTGCAAAGTCTCTCCCCTCCCCAGCCTCATTTGTGTATCTGCTCGGTTCATATTATTGGCAATTCCCCATAGAGAAAAGGAACAGCTTCAATCAAGTTCCATCAGTGCATGTGATTTAGCACTGCAGAGCTGCTAGTCCTGGGGATTGCCTGACCGGCTGTTAATTGGAAAGCAGATCTGGCAGGCAGCAGCTGTGGGGAGGCCAGCAACGGAGACCGCCTTTCACAGCTTCCGAGCAGAGGAGGCAAGAGACACTGGTGCCAGGTATTAAATGCCCAACATGAAGGATACGGAGATAGAAAGAGGAAGCAGCTTGCAGGGGAAAATGAAGTGAAAAAGCAACATAAAGACATAGACAAGGACTGCAGCACCATCCCTGGCATGCTGCCGAGAGGTTCAATAACTGAATGGTTCAAGGACACAAATACAATCCTGAAGGAAACATAAGGTCACTGAGCAGCTTCAAACGCCCCATTCATTTTCAACAGTCAAGCTCCAAAATAAAAGGAGAGATCCCCAATGTGTCAGCTTTCCT